TATTCATGCCCGTGCCACCTCTTGGGTGGCTTAACCTTTATCAATCATCAATCAATCAGGCTGCATGCTGGGCCGGTGGTGGTGCAGTCAGCTGGGTGCGACGGTGGTGAGGGAGTCACATGTGTGTTCCCAGGGAATACGTGAAGTTACGCTGATCACATTATCGACTTGAGAATGTTCCAGGACGAACCGAAACGTCGTCGTCCCTTCATTTTCTAGTGTGTGGATTGGTCAACTGATCACATTAGTTTTCCACTATGCACTTTCTGCCTTTTTTGAAAATGGTGACATTTGCATTTTTCAAAACTAGGGTACCACAAAAATACTTAACATGAGAAGGGAACTTAATGTTCCGAACGTTGTTGATCATGTTACTGAAATTAACTGTCAAATTCGAATAAAAATGCTTAGGCTAGCTCATCCTAACCCTTGCACAGAAGCCCTCTAAAATTTATTTATTAAAGGTCAACTTTGTTCCAATGGATAACTAAAACTGGAACTGAACTCAGAATGTATCAGATTTATAATTTGTACCAAGAGATACAACAACGGCACTTTCATGCACCGTGACAGATTACACCCTTTCCAATTTTAATCTCTCTTTCCATCCAAGAAGCAAATTATAGATCAGCCCAAGCTTCGTCTTGAGGCAAAGCTCAACGCCTTAAGCCATATTGATGCTCTGTCCACAGAGGATTCTCTTTCTCAAATCATATACACTGATGGTCCCCTACACCGCCCTATGGGTGCAGCAGGAAGTGCAGATGTCCTGACAATGGGTGATGGCTTATATTTTGAGTGGGGAGTCCGTATAAACAACTGGGCCTCTACCCTTCAGACCGAACTATTTGCCTTGCTTCGTGCGCTGAAATGTGTACAAGTCTCCAAACTTGATACATTAATTGTAAGTGACTCTATCATCCTTAACTGCTCTCAACTCTTTAAGACGTAACTGTAACATGCTCAGTCTGAAGCTAGACACAAATACAACTAAATTATTAATGATGGTAACAGTCCATTTTATGTGGACTCCATCTCATGTTGGCCTCCGATTGCGATAGAGCTGATAAGTTAGCCAAAGAATCTGCCTTTAAAGGAGAAATTGAGTATAACCTTGGATTGTCAATAAGCAGTCTGAGAGTAGTAGTACATCAAGAACTACAACAAAATCTTGTAGATCTGAAGCAAAGTGAAATCGACAGCAGTAATTCCATCTATCATCAAACTATCATGCAAGAGGAGCCACGCATCTATGGATCATCCAATAACATCAGCAGACTTCTAGATGTTACTACTGCTCGGCTTAGACTCGGTTACAAGTATCTCTGGGAATTTTCATTATCTGCTGATGTAGACCTGACCAAATGTAAACTGTGTCAACATTATTATTCGCATACCCTCCGTCACTATGTGATGGAGTGCCAAAAGATACGTGAATTCAGAGACAATTCTATAACAAATGTTCCAGAGATGTGTAACTATTTCATTCAAAATTATCTAGCCAAAATGAGCTACCAGAAATTTTAGCCAAATATCCCCAGTTTGCTAACTGTAGGTAGTAATTAAGTGACTGTAACCTATCTACCGCTGCCCACTGGATGGGGGGCGGTGTGCAGGATAAACATCAATTGTGACACTAGGCTCTCCACATATGTCAGTTGCTTAATTTAGAAACTGTACTTGTGGTCGGTCTGGAACCCATTGTTGATGTGACGATGTGCATTGAATTTTGTAACTAATTCATCAAGATTGTAACTTGCTTAGCTAAATGAATTGTGGGGTTCAGTCCCTGAGCCCATTATGTGCCTCTGTAACCCTTTCCACTACCGCCCACAGGATGGGTATGGGATGCATAATAAATGATCTAAACTAAACCAATCTAGGGGAACTATCCCCAATTCCAGAGATTTTATGAAAAAGTAGTTTCAGTGGTAGACACACATTATCTACCAGTTCCATTATGACTTTGGATTGAATTCCAACCACACTTTGGCTTTTGAATCCTTTAATTTGGAAATGCATTTCCTAATTGCTTTGCATGTTATGGTTACCGGTATATTCCTTAATTCACCCTTTTTTCCTGCTTCAAACATTTGTGTGAGCAGTGAGATGTTGCAGAGACCCAGATGACATGAACCATCTCATTTTATCTTACACAGCTCATTTCTACAGCAACACTTTAAAATAGAAGACTTCAGCACTTTATTTCAAAACATACTTCAAATGCTCCATATGTGCTCTTCACGAGCTCTTGTCTTCCAGCGACGTGAGGTGCAGTTCACGCAGCCTGTCCTCATAACTCATGCCTCTTAGTTCTGGGACTAGCCTAGTGGCATACCTCTGAACTTTTTCCAACTTCGTTTTGTGCTTGACTAGGTACGGGCTCCATGTTCCAGGATTGGCCTTACATTTGTGGTATACAAGGTTCTGAAGGATTCCTTACACAGGTTCCTGAAGGCTGTTCTGATGTTAGGTAGCCTAGTATAGGCCGCTGATGTTATTCTTTTGGTGTGGGCTTCAGGAGACAGGTTTGGTGTGATATCAACTCCTAGATCTTTCTCTCTGTCCGTTTTGTGAAGGACTTCATCTCCCATTCGGTATCCAGTGTCTGGCCTCCTAGTTTCATTACCTTACATTTACTTGGATTGAACGTTAGTAGCCATTTGTTGGACCATTCCTTCAGTTTGTCTAGGTCATCTTGTAGCCTCATACTATCTTCCTCTGTCTTGATCCTCTACATATTTTTTACATCATCAGCAAACATTGAGAGGAACGAGTCAATTCCTTCTGGGAGATCATTTACGTATATCAGAAACAGTATAGGCCCAAGGACTGATCCCTGTGGGACTCCACTGGTGACGCTTAGCCACTCCGAGGCCTTTCCCCTCACAGTGACTCGCTGTGTGCTGATGCTTAGGTACTCCCTTATCCAGTGGAGTACCTTCCCTTTCACTCCTGCCTGCATCTCCAGTTTGTGCACTAGTCTCTTATGTGGTAGTGTCAAAGGCTTTCTGCTTTTATGCTATATGAAATATGCAGTCTGCCCAGCCCTCTCTCTCGCCTATTTTTTTTTGGGGGGGCCTATTCATAGAACTCAATTAAACCGGTTAGACACGATTTGCCATTTCTGAACCAATGCTGATGTTGTTACAAATTTCTTTCGCTCTAGATGTTCTACTAGCTTTTTTCGCAATCTTCTCCATCTTGCATGGAATGCAAGTTAGGGACACTGGCCTGTAGTTCAGTGCTTACTGTCTATCACCTTTCTTGTATATTGGGACTACATTGGCCATCTTCCAAATTTTTGGCAGTTCACCTGTTACCAGTGATTTGTTGTACACCATGGAGAGTGGCAGGCACAGAACTTCTGCTCCTTCCTTTAGAATCCATGGTGAGATTCCATCCCAGCCTATAGCCTTTTGTCACATCCAAATCTACCAGATGCTTCCTCACCTCCGCACTGGTAATCACAAACTACTCTAGTGGTGTCTGGTTTGATAATCCCTCTCTTATCTCTGGGACTTCTCCTTGCTCTGAGGTGAAGACCTGGAATTTCTTATAGAGTTCCTCGCACACTTCCTTGTCGTTTGTAGTGAATCTTTCTGCCCCTATCCTCAGTTTCATTACCTGTTGTTTTCCTCCTGATGTGGCTATGCAGCAGTTTGGGTCAAGTCTTTGCCTTGCTCGCCATGTCATTTTCATATTGCCACTCTACCTCTCTTCTCACCCTGACGTATTCATTCCTGGCACTCTGGTATCTTTCTCTGCTCTCTAGTGTTCTGTTGTTTCTATAGTGTCTGCAGGATCGAGCATTGACTCTTGGATCCCGCCTTTCGAGCCATCGGTTGTTTACAGCAATGATTCCAGTCCTATTTCCTTATCATACCTAGTTTTAAAATTATGAATAGAATTTGCTTCCACAACCTGCTCCTTAAGTGCATTCCATTTTTTCACTACTCTCACGTTTAAAGAAAACTTCCTAACATCTCTTTGACTCATCTGAGTTTCCAGCTTCCATCCATGTCCCCTCGTTCTGTTACTATTCCGTGTGAACATTTTGTCTATGTCCATTTTCTCAATTCCCTCCCCCCCCCCCAAGAGTATTTTATATGTTCCTATCATATCCCCCTCTCCCTCTTCTTTCTAGTGTCGCAAGGCACAGTTCCTTCAGGCGCTCTTCATACCCCATCCCTGGTAACTCTGGGACGAGTCTGGTTGCTAACTTCTAAACCTTTTCCAGTTTCCTTATGTGCTTCTTCAGGTGGGGACTCCATGATGAGGCGGCATACTCCAAGACTGGCCTCATGTAGGTAGTATAAAGCGCCCTAAATGCCTCCTTACTTAGGTTTCTGAATGATGTTCTAACTTTTGCCAGTGTAGAGTATGCTGCTGTCGTTATCCTATTTATATGTGCCTCAGGAGATAGATTAGGTGTTACGTCAATGCCCAGGTCTCTTTCTCGCATCGTCACAGGTAGGCAGTTCCCTTTCATTGTGTACTGTCCCTTTGGTCTCCTATCACCTAGTCCCATTTCCATAACTTTACATTTACTCGTGCTGAACTCCAGTAGCCATTTCTCTGACCATCTCTGCAACCTGGTCAAGTCCTCTTGGAGGATCCTACAGTCCTCATCTGTCACAACTCTTCTCATCAACTTTGCGTCATCCGCAAACATTGACATATAGGACTCTACTCCTGTAAACATGTCATTAACATATATTAGAAACAGAATGGGTTCCAGCACCGATCCTTGAGGTACTCCACTCGTTATTGTTCGCCAGTCTGACTTCTCGCCCCTTACCATAACTCTTTGGCGCCTTCCTGTTAGGTAGTTCCTTATCCATAGTAGGGGCCTTTCCTCCCACCTTTGTGTGTGCGCAGACATGCGTGTTTGTGTTAGTGTTAGATTGATTGATTGACTTCATCCCCACAGCCTGGTCCTCGACCAGGCCTCCTCAAAACATGCTTGAAACTAACGAGATTTTGATAATAAAATTACATTTTACAAAAAGCTCTTTTAATATAGATTTCTCCATAAATATTACAATCTGTACATAGCTGAAATGAAAAAAAAATATTTTACTAAACACAATGTTAGAAACATACCAAATACAACACATTATAATTCTAATGTCTTAAAACATGGGCCTAATACTCATTTTTTAAAATAATTTTACACCCTACATAGGGCTTACATAGGTTAAGTTAACTTATGCCCTATATAAGACTGATACCCTTTATAGGATAAGATGATTCAATTTTTGACCTTGAAAACTGTTTGAAGTGGAAATGATTCCGCCATTTCTGGAACTAATATAAAGCACTTTAGGTAGCATGTTTCGGTAGCATTAACATTATGATTAGACCAATATACTATTGCATGATCTGATGGAAAAAGACCTTAATTTTAATTTCTTAACATAGTTTAATTACTCCATATAAGAGCAAGTCAAAGTAAATTAACACCATGCCAAAGGGGGATTCAAATGTTTTGCAAAACCCATTAGCGAACACAGCATGAGCTATATAAACATATTGCAATGAATGAATATCTAAATATAAAAGTTGAGAATAGTCAAGACTGAAATTCAGATATTTTTTTTTTAGTTTTTTATTTTGACTGAAAAAGTTTGATTTTTTTTACCAATTGTAAACAGATTCCCAAAAATAAAATTTCAACGTGTCATTCTCAGGAGAACACTTACTTCAGAGATGTAATAAAGTACATTAAAAATTTTGTACAATGTAGTCTTATCGCTATGAGAGAAAATTTGACAATTATTAATGTCAAATAATTGTTTTTTAGAATTTGTACCAAAATACACAATCCAAGTGCACTGTGACAGCATAGTTTCCACAATTATTATATTATTCATTCATTCCCAGCTATACCCACATGCATTTACAAAATTTGCACCTTGTAGCTGTACAGTGCTGGACTGTAACCTCTCATCTGGTATACCCTTTCTTATATAAAAAAAAAATCAACAATCTCGTATTCCATTAAAAATAAGTGGATATAATTCAGTCATGAGTAACATCCTCAAACAACAATACATGCTCATTCTCCAACAATCAATATAAAATATCTGCATATTTTTGTTAACTTGCACCCAGTTCATGCACACACCTGAACATCAATTCATGTTGAATTATGCATCTTCTTCTGTGGACGAATACACAGCTTGGTTTCTTCTCTTAAACTTCTTCATTTCTTTACCAGTCTCTACATTTGAGGTCAAGGAAACAAATTCCTTTTTTGACAATTCCTTTTCCTCTTCATTAGTTCGCTTCAACTGTGGGCTTCTCCGTGGACTAGATTCACTCTCACTAAGAGATGAGGAAGCAGAAGAAGAATCGCAAGCATAAGGATTGGGTGAGGTCTGGCTCTCACTCTTCGGACTGGATAATACAAGTCCTCGGCGATGACCACCCAGCACACCAACATGTCTGCAAATAAAAAAATACGATAAATTAGTATTACATATAAATTAACCAAGTCCTGCCCACTGTTATTAGTGATTTGATGAACTGGTTGAGAGATTGCTCATTAAACATACTGCACAAAAATGTCAACTAAACTTCATTTGTTATTATAATTATTATAATAATTATTATATTATAATAATAATTGTTGTATTTAATAATTACATTAGGTTAGTTAGGTTAGAAAGTTAATAATTAACCTTCTGCTTGGTCTTAAAGGAAGCCGAAGTATAGTGTAAGGAAGCCGGCCTCGGGTGAAAGAGGGCTGTGATGATCTCTGTCTGGAACCCATAGGTGCGGGACTGGGGCGTCCACCACGGGCTCGTGCAGCCCAAGCTCTGCTTCAGGAGGCTGCGGTTGTTCTTGCCTTGATGGGGTGGTTCTTCTCCGGCCCCGACCACAGCGGTCTCTGGGTTTGGAGTCCCTGTGCCTTCTTTCACCAACTTCAAGGTCAACTCCGGAGCTCACAGTTCCTGCGACGGCGCTGGAATCAATCGTATTGGCGTTTGCCTTTCCATTGGAGACTTTTGGCGCCATAGAGAGGGGAGGACCTGCTGCATGGGTGACAACTTCTCCTCCATATCAACCTACCCTGGCTTTGCGCCCTGAAGAGGCCACTCCAGACCGACAGCCAAAGCACAACTCAATAGTCTCCTGAGACTGATGGATGTCTACTACTATATGTACAATATAACAGAAATTAAGTTTAGTTGACATTTTTGTGCAATATGAATATTGCAATTCCTATATGGCTCATAGGAAAATACTGAAGCTGTACGACAGGCGTGAGCCCACATCCCCGAACTCCTCAGACTTATGTTTTACTATGTATCTGTATGTTAAAACCAACTTACAGCTCCAGCTTATTCAGATAGAGAGAATAAGTCACAATAACCTGACTGAAAACAAATAACTCAACCCACACAAAAGGCAAGTGATGATATTTTGGTCCATCATGAACTTGATAATGATCCGCTTTCATTATCGATTTTTCTCATTACATATGTGTAGGATGCAGTATTTTAAAATGTAGCTACACATTTCCTACCACACACACACACTGTATAATTTATTTTCCAGCAAGTTGCAGATAATTTAATCTTGGTTAATTTTAACACAAAGTATCACTGTACATTTTAAGCATCTGCAAAGATTATACTGGCTTATTACTCTCACTAAATTTTGCCAATTTTGTTCTTACCTTGGTGAGCTAGAACATGGCTGCACCCCAGGACTTTGTGAACCAGTTGAGTCATCTCTTCTGATTGGACTTAAAACAAACTCAAATGATCCCTCAGCATCAGGAGGCAGCTCAGGACTTAATCTTAACTCCATTACAATATCTGCATTGTCGTCATCGTCGTCGTCACTCAGCTCGACCTGTCGATACAAAAAAATTAAGCCGTCTGTGCTTGCTTGCAAGTAGAAACATAGAATATTTGGACACTTTACAATTAATGTATCATATAGAAGGAAGATACCAGCTAAAAAAAAATAATTTCAGCATATCACAATAATGAATTTACACAATCATCTGCCATTATATTTTTTTTTGTTTTTTTACCAAAATATCTTACCTCCTCTGGGCTATTGGAGAGTTTAGATGTTTCCAATGTTATGTTCAGCTCTGAATCATTTAGTCTTGGTGAAGTTACTTTTGGTGACATCATTGCTTTTCTTTTAGCTCCTAGCAGCAGAGCCAGTGGATCGTCTAGACCAAGCTTATCACAGAACGCGGTGGTCTGAGGGTTCAGAATTGGCTGAGGCATATGAACCAAATCCATTCTTGGTTTTCCCTTGAGTTTATTATATGTTTCAGCTGTACAACTGAAATTATTAGGTATGATAAGATTCCCATTCATTATTTGAATGGTCTCTTCAACTTCTTCCTTGGTTGGAGTAAACTGGTACCTGCAAAATAAAGTAACACTTTGCTTAATGTGCTTCAATATGCATACATTTTTAAAAGTTAAAAAAAAAAAAAAATCCAGGCGAATATTTTCTTCAGATTTTTCGAGACTAAACAACATCGAGCACATTTTCATAGTGCTTATTTTCAAGGGGAGCCACTGTTCCCATGTTATATCATCAACTTTGCACACAACACATAAACTTGATAGGTGATGTCTTCCACAGTACAACCTTTTCACAACAAACTGAACAATGCCTCATCAGAGAATCAGAAAACAAACGTGTGTGCGCCCAGAAACAAGATTTTTATTGCCAAGGAGTTTATAACTTCTCAAACAAGGCCGGATGTAAGCCACAAACTTAACGAAATTGCCAGAAGCCTCTGTAAATAACACCAAACCTTTGCTACAGACAACCAACTTCGCATCATCACCCAATTTTCCCCTTTTGTGAGGTGGGGAGAGGCACTTGTCCAGAAAGGTTGGAAAAGTATTGTAGAAAAAATGGTTTAACAATATTCACCACATAAAACTAGTAGCACTTCATTCAAGCAAAAAACCACAACAGAATTCAACCATTTCACAAGACTAAGTATTAATTAAATACAGTACTCCTGCTCGAACAGACAAGGTCATACTGGATGCTGGTCAGTTGCATCTTAAATTTACTATGTTTTAGAACATTTTACCAAACAATATTCAAAGTTTGCAAATTATTTCCTATTTAATGTCAAACATTTCTATGATTTTTACTCTACTCTACTTAATTTTTACTCTACTTAATTTTTACTCTACTGTGCATATTTTGATATTAACATCACTTTGAAAAAGAAATTGAAAAAATATATGTGGCACTAAAATCTTATCAAGCAATTGCATGAGGGTTGTCCCACCAACTATCCCAACCAGTCATATGAATGTACTAGAATGGGACCCTGCTGTTGCATCCAGCTTTCCAGTAGACCAAGTTATGTTTGAATGGGAGCCCACTTTACTCTGTATGTACTACTATAAACAAAATCATCCATTCCCTATTAACTAGCTGCTACATCTTTTCCAGTAAAGCAAACTTCATTATAAGTCATTGTCGATATCTGCAGAAATAATCAACAACAGTAAAACTGTTCCATAATACTTAAGGTTTCAATAAATGTTAACTTATCTAATTTCCTTACAGTGACAGATCTGGTCGTAGTCAATCCCCACTTCCTTAAACACTCATCATGTTTGCCCATCTCCCTCTACTCTCAGACTCGGCACTCTATGATCACGCAATTGTTCAACATGATTAAACAATCTTCATTATTCTATCTGTCATTATTCATTATTCTATCTGTCATTATTCATTATTCTATCTGTCCCCCATTACACCACACTTGACCCATAGGGTCCACCTGTTTGTAAATAGCTACATGACTATTTGAAAAAATAAAGAAGCATCTGTTTATCACAAGTAAAGAAGGATGGGGACTAAAAAATTGGAAAGGCTTAAGAAAAAGTAATAAGAGAAGCAGCAGACAAGGGCAAACTTGGAATTGAATAACGAAAGGCACAATTTATGTAAAACGTAAGCCATGAAGCAAGATTATACTGTACTTATGTTACAGCAGGATACAAAAACGACTAGCCTACATAAGATAACTTTCACACATTTCCATGTGGTTTCCTCCCATTTACTTTCATTATTAGCATTGGGCTCCTGGTGCAACAACCAGGAGCACTACTGTTACACTGACAGCTGGGCTACTATCCATCATCTCTGCTCATCCTTTACACTCACTACCTATTAAAGTCAACCATGCCTGTCACCATTCTTCCACAAATTGTATGTTTATCTTACAAATACTTTTTACAACCAAAATATTTTACACCCTTCACAATACCCCCCTCCCAGTAAATTACTGTATTGGCTGTATTTAAATCTGTATAACCCCATTTAATTTTAGAAGATTAATGACAACTAACATTAGAAAAATTTATCTTCGGTGACTTACTAAAATAATTAAATAACATTTTCATTATAGCAGCAAATTACATTTTTTAGATTTTCTGTAGATCGCACAATAACAAAAACGATGAACAAGATGTAAGAGCGTCCATAATAAGAAAAATACTTACTGCAGCTTGCAAATAATAAACCTCTAACCATAAACAAAGAAATAAACCATCCAGTTTTCGATGGGAGCAGTCAAGCAGAAAGTCTCGGATAACCGTACCAAATAATTACGCCTCCACACCACTTTGCCCGCAAACAACATAGCCGTAACGAAGACACTCCAGATGCCAATGCAAATTTACCTCTCAGAACCGCCTGGCCCCGGCATGTAGACACTCTGTGTCCCAACAGAGAGAAGGTGGTTGGTAAGACGAAGGATTGTCAGCCATTCTGCATCATAGTTTAGCTCTAATGGCTGGGTGCTTGGAACCTCTATCACCTGAAGGAAGTCTCGACGCGGCAGGCACTTGTCGAGAGCTAAGAATTTTGTGACCTTCACTTTTTGGGTTTTTTCGTCCTGTATTGGAGAAGTAAGTTGAAACTAGCAAGCTTAAGAAAACACACGCAATTTTTTTATGTCCCCTCCCCGTAGAATATAAATAAATAACAAGTAGACTTTTCTCATTAAATAAATTCACCACCACTACAGTGCAACTTTCCTAGCAAAGTAACAAAAAAAAAAAGTAAAGTACAGTGTAGCTAGTTAACGTTTTAAAATGCTAATGCACACTGAAAGCGTCTCTATCAAACGTATATCTATCAGTCACTCTGATATTCCTTAAACCTACTTACATCACTGGAGTGTTTGCATGAATTAGTATGCCTAAAAAATTTGTATTATCCATGATTTATACTCCCTGAATATGGTTAAATTATTAGATTTATGCTTATCCTAACCACAAACATCCAACTGCTCACACTCGCTTTATCCTTCTCAAACCAAGTATATCCACAGCTACACTATTAACACTAAAGCTCACTTCAGTAAGATTAATACATATTTGAGTTAACTCTTTCTGGCTCCGGCACCAAGTTGCTTGTAGGAATGTATCTCACTGATCCCACTGTAAATCCAAAATTAATTTCTCCCTTTAGTGTAACACACTAACATAGTAATAAATTTATGCACTAAACAATGCTCTCAAACATTTTTGTTATCTTTTTACTCATAAAATACCGAGTAACCATCTGTGGCATTATCTTTATTACTCATATTCATCAGAATGGAATCTTTGAATAAACCTCAAATATATCCACATACAGTCTTATAACTCAACCTACATGAAAAGAAGGGAAAGTGATGACTCTTCAGTCTGTCCTGACACGACTTGGTAAGGGTTTAGGACAATCTGAAACGTCACTTTCCTTTCATATGTGGGGATGGGTTATTAATTTTCAGGTATTTTATTTTATTCTCTGCATATCCACATATTCTTCATGTCAATCATATCTCACAGATACTCTCTAAACATTTGACTGATTATGTTCCCATTGAAAGAAGTTGCTTGTTTGAGTAGTGAGTAACCCTTGGGCGCACATTACAGTTGGGCCTTTGCGATCCAGTATCTTCAATTATAATACAGTATAAACAAAACTACTAGATGTTCAACAGTAATAAAAATCCAGCAAGTTTCTTGTAGCTCCACGGTTGCTGCCAACATCTCCCAACTGCATTACTGAATAATCTTTACTACGAGAAGCAAGTTGCTCATGAGCCATTAAAATATTTAATACACAACAAACTGTAAACCACATGTAAATATTTTCTGTTATATGTTCCAACAGTGAACTATCACAAAATATTCTTACTATAAGAGTTTGCAGGGAAGACAGAAGAATAATTTCACAACAATTATTAAAAGCATAAACAAGTAATGTACATATTTGATGTATGAAAGGTGATTGGTTTACCTGAAATGAAGAATATTTGACCTAAAACATGGAAAATATTCAAATGTGTTGTCATAATGCAATTTCATAATCTTTGAGGAGGTCATTCAACTGAAACAGTATATTTATGTGCACAGAATAGTATTCTGAGTTATGTCAGGATAAGTATAGTGATAAGTGCACTGATGAACTCTCTTTATTGAATAAAGATGGAGTTTGAAATACTGAAATACTATAGTACCAGAAAAAACACTTCAAAAAGCTACCTAATTTTAGCTATGTCCAGGACAAATAAATGATTATAATGTATGTAACTGCACAGAGTAACCGATGCACAAGTTAAGTGGAGATTTAATCAACTTTATCTCTAATGCCACAAACTACATGGATGGCAAAAAAATTGAACGAGATCAAGGGGGGTATTTTACGGGCTATTCATGCCCGTGCCACCTCTTTGGTGGCTTAATCTTTATCAATCAAGGGGTGTTAAAACATTATACTGCAAGTCTAAATACAGTTTACTAAAGTTATTTAGGGAAAAGAAATATGTATCCAACAATAGTGAGAGTTACACAGAGAGAAAACACACTAACATGATATATATATATCAATGAGAAAATAAACTGGAGGTCTAAGGTGACTCAAACCCATGACCAGCATACTACGAGCCACAGTACGCTGGTCAGGGTGGTTCAGCGGCAGTACGCTGGTCCCAGGTTTGAGTCACCTAAAACCTCCAGTTGATTTTCTAATAGTATGAGTCCCCTGAAATTAAAGGTGAAACAATATATGTCACAGAGAGTTCAGATGTGTGTAGGAAGTCTTCGTGCAAAGTGTGTGGAATAAAGAGACAACTAATGACTGACAATTTTGACTCAAAATATCTTGTGTAGCTATGTGACCCCAATAAAATGTTGAGTAGAAGATACCTGAGCTACTGAAGGCATTTTAATTCCATACTGTCCAGTTGCCTCTGTGATTTAAACATGACTGGCAATGTTTATCCCATTTCCATAAAATTCTCACTATGGGCAACAGATGAAGTCCTACCACCAATTCTCTTCTCTTACAAACAAAACAAATTTACTTACTTACATCACAAATTATCTCTAAATTTCACTGATTCTCTCATACTACGCAATCATTTAGAACATTACACAATCACATTAAATAATAAAAAACGTGTTTTTGTATATTTAACCTCATAGTTCATAGAAGCTTGAAGTTTACTTTCAAGCTCTGTTCTTGCCATTTCTTTTAAGAATGCGTATTATTTGTTAATACAGTACATCATAACATAACTTCCATTATGTTATCCATTTTTCTATAACAACCAGTCATATTAACAATTATAGATTAATGTTGCCTCCACTTTTCTTACGATCAATGAATAAACTAGTACATCTTATCTTGAGATGATTTTGGGGCTTAGTGTCCCAGCGACCGGTCCTCAACCAGGCCTCCACCCCCAGGAAGCAGCCCGTAGCAGCTGTCTAACTCCTATTTACTGCTAGATACCAGGGGCATCAGTGTGAAAGAAACATTTTGCCCATTTATCTCCGCTTCTGCCGGGGATCGAACCCGGAACCTCAGGACTATGAATCCGAAGCGCTGTCCACCCAGCTGTCAGGTGCCCATTACATTCATTATGATTATGAATCATTGAATGATTAATTACATTCATAAATCTTGTTCACTACTGTGCCATACTCAAACATTAATCTTAAATGATGATAAGTAATTCAAATTTTGGGAAATAGTAACATTTTCTTATCCACGTACACAAGATTTGTTGTTACTGTGCACTATACAGTACAGAATATCTAATTAAATTGTCTATTTACGTAATTGAAGACATTTATGCTAATGTTCCATTATCTTGTGTCTGCATTAATGTGTTATCGTGATGCATGTTGCTGTAGAGAATAAGTTTTCTTTTGCTTGGTGGATGGTGTGTTTGCGATGCTCGAAACTCCCCAGGGGTACTCATGTAAATATGTGCATCATTTTTAATTATGGCTGCACCACACTCCAAAACTGATTCTGTAGTTATCCAGTAATTCATTACTAAACATGTACAGTATGTTCTTTGTGTAGTGTTTCACCTGCCTGGTATTATAATTAAACTTGGTATTAACACTTAGGCATACAATAAAAGTTTACATAAAAAACTGCCTTTTTTCGTCTGCAAGGCAGAAATTCTTTGATAAACTTGGATAATTTTGCTCTTGTCTAATCAGGAAAACAAAGAACAAGGGAAACGACATTGATTATCGTTGAGATGTATGATAACAGCTGCCAAAAAAGCTGAAGCCATCACCACTGCCAGTAAGATATCTGCACCTCACCACCTTCCTGAAGTAGGCTGAACAAAAAGTAAAAACTTTTAACTACCAGTTATGAATTGACCAACTAATACACGGTCAGGAGACAACTGTCACACCAGTAAGAAAGAACATAAAACCCGGCCAGCACATGCAACCCACTGAGCACAAGCTTCCCGGGGTTGAAGCCAAGCAACACGGCCATGAACAAAAATGCTTTATAACATCACTGTGCAGAATCCTTTGTTCAAAATAAAGCATGTTACGTCATACAATTTTAGCTTATCAAGGGTATGCTAGAAATATCACAAAACATTAAATCACATTAGTGTCCAGTATAGAGATATCCTTTATACAAACTTGTTCCAATCTTCAGTAATGCATTTGATGACCCAATTAACTAGTCCCGTGAATATTGTTGTAATTATGTCCGTATAAAAAAAGGTACTGTAACAGGTTCAATTAAAGCACAGGGTGCAAAGTTTGAGGTGAATCTCCTTACACCTGATGCCTCTGTTCACTTAGCAGTAAATAAATACCTATGAGCTAGGCAAGTTGAGAGTTGCATCCTATAAGTGTTCTGTGCCCAAATACTGGGAAACAATATGGGCAATAAACAGGTTATAACTAAGAATAATTCCTTGAAAACTCATCCAAAGAGATTTAATACACTATTCTAGCTAATTTTTTTATTTACTGCTTTTGAGTTCCCTAAAACTGAACATTCCTTAGTAAATACTACAGTACACTTCTTTTATCAGACTATTTTATAATTTATATAATTGAAGAACAGGTTACAATTCTTGAAGATTTACAAAGCTAATTACAATTATGAAGCTTTGTGACTTTAAATAATAAATAATAACTCTTTACATTGGCTTCATTTTTCCTTTCTGAATTCCATCTTACAAAGACAACAATAAAATAATTATTATTTTGAAAACGAGCAAATTACTTTGCACGGTTCTATATGTTGCACACAAACATAAGGTATATTACAGAGGTAACATCAAGGAACATAATTGAAATCTTAAGTAAAGGTACAAAGTGGTGCCATACCTTATGCTTTAGAACCGCAGGGAACTTGACATGCAGATGTCCAGAGAACCAGTACTTTGGACGGAGCTTCTTTAACAAATCTTCCGCTGCTCTTGACCCAAGAGAGTTGTTCAATATCTCTGAACGAAAGTGTTGCTTCCACCTCATGAGCTTCTCCTTGGGACCATGATGGTAAATGCCCCGTGGCCAGTCATGGGACATGATGATGTCACTCTCACCTGAGAGCTACCGGTCAAATATTCTATATTAAAAACACAGTCATCCAAGATAACTTTATACTACCTACACCTATACTAAGGATGATATATATGCATCATGATGTACATGTTATAACAATTGTTTTTAATAAACAATGAAAGAATTTCTTTAATTATAAATTGAATAATAATATATTTTTGTAAAAAATTGAGCAAGAAAATTTACAATGCCTAAAGAAATTTAATACAACTACTTAAATAGCATTTAAACATAAATCTAAACTCAAAAGAATAATCAGTCATGCAATTCTCACACACAGAACAAGCTTGTCATAAAAGCAAAAAAAAAAAAAAATATATATATTGATGAACTGAGTCATCTTCATCACTGGTAACATTAACCTCACCTGCTTTAGCCGAAAGACCTCAAGGTTTCGCACATGATATACACTGCGAACTGAATCCCCGGAATAAGGTGGCTTTTCAAAATGACCCTTGAGGTAGTCTGGGCCCTTATATATCCCTGAAAGGCCCCCAATGCGAAGCCCTCCGAATCTGACAACACCAGCATATCCCAGATAGTAAATATTTGGGGCAACCCACCCACCATAGGGGAACTCTTGAAGATAGTTTGAAGCCTCGTGGTTGCCCCCAATGAAAATGGTCAACACTGGCGCTTTCTTCTCACCTGAGTGGTATCTGTAAGAGAAAAACCAATTACCATATTTAAATTCACAATGTACAGTAATACAGTTAGTCTGTAATTCATGAGGAAATCCGTTTTGGTCAGTAAAACTCAAGTGTTACATGAGATGTAGCACCCTTTCACATAAAAAGACCGTAGTAATAAGTTATAACTGTAGCTGAAGGCCTATCAATAAACTGACCATAAAAGAATGTATAAAACAGAAAAGGAAACTACCTAATGGTTATGCTAAATGGTACAAAACAAATAGAAGAAGTGCTTTAAAATGATAAAAAGCAAAAGATGGTGATGAAGGAAAGAAATGGTCTGTAAGGTCACCCAAGGGCACTTCTACGGCTGCTCCTCAACCTTCAGAAGCTTGCCACGAGAGCTCTGGAACAGAGCCAAAGTTCTAATCTAATTCCTGCGATAGAAAGGTGTCTTCCCAAGGAGAAGACTTGGGTTAAGGAGGCAGTTGTGAAGGTGAGTGCTTTGAAATCTTGGTGGAAGGCTCAACTGCCTCTTCCGTCGATGTAGATGGGACCACCCGTGGAAAACACTGAGCTACACCCCAATCTAAAAATTGACCCGACTCCATGTTATGACCCAGGTGGTCCTAAGATAGAGGATAGAGTCTGTGCCAAACAAATACAGGAAAGTTGGTAGACAAGAATCACTGAAAAAAAAATGCTGCCAACCGAATGACCAGTTGAAGACAAGTAAGCTTGTCACTGACAAGAAAAATTTGTATGAAGTTTATTTAAGGAAAGAACCAGCTAGGAGGATATATCATATGTATGGTAAATACTTAAGAGATTGACAGTAGTTTAATGTTTGTAAAAGGAACAGTTACAGTACAGTATGAGATTTGGACAGCTTATGACATCATTGGAAAGTCAGAGGAATTAAAGCTTTTAACATAGTCTGGACTGGACATGGTCCAAAGGTGTCTGTGATTAAAGTGCCTGTCTTCATTAATTATTTACTGGCCACCAATTTCATTATATTACTGATATTATATTATGCAACTCTGGCCATTATCCACTTTTATGGTAATAATGTATGCAATAAATCCAGAGAGGATCACATGTACGGGGTAGTGTATGCCTCCTTCAAAGGTTGTAGACCTGCCTACCTATAATATTGTTTTCTTACTCCTGCTTATATGTGGCATATTGTTCATAATGTAAATGTAAATTTGGACATAATGTAAAAGTCCTAGAGGTTTATATACCAGCGAGGGGTTGGGATATCATCCTCTTAGACAGGAAGTTGACAGGAGTAATTTCCCTGGGGGGGGGAGGGCTTGCTGGAGTTTATTTAAGGAATCCCAGGAGCATAGGTGACTAGTAACATATTATTTACTAAGCTAAGTTAACCACACTACAGTTACACACCAAAACCTTCAGATGCTTCAAAGCATGAACCAGGGACGAAGGACTAGAAGCAGGGCAAACCACACCCAGAGGAAGAGGAGGCATGGAGTTAGTCCTGGTGGAGGTCACCAACACCACCAATTCTGAGTCCATAAACACCATGGGGCCAACTCCTGAGCATCGAGCCGATCAATGTGCCACAAATACCGAACACAAGTGAACCTAGTTCGCAAAGCAGCAACCACCTGAAATGCCTATAACTGTAAGTCAGAATCCATCAAAGTAGACCCAGTGATAGGAAACCTCACAAGTCATAGGTGTCACTAACCCAATAGGTAGCATGGCAGGGGCAGAAAGAAAGACAATTTTCCTGTAGCAAGGATAATGAACCCACACTAAGCAAAGGTAGGTTCAATGGGCCAATCCACATGGACCATGCAGGAAATTTCCAGGGCTTGAAGGAATGTAACTAATCAGAAACCCCTTGCACTAGGTTCACTTGCCAAAAGAACAGCCAAATACCAGACTAGGCGTGGTGACTCCAGCGATCCATGTAAACAAGTATGTAAATCCTGGTGCACCCCAACACAATCAAAGAATTTTACAAGCCAGGAGGCCCAAACAGAGGAATCAAAGGTCAATGCCCAAGACAAGGCTTAGAGTGGTCAAGCCTCTTAGGGGCAAACACCTGAACACACCAAAGAAGGGAACTAACTGTGCAAGGGTAGCTGGGGGCCAAGCCACCTGGTGGCAGTAATCGGTATCAACACGTTTTAATTTGTTAATAACAAATACCGATTTGTTAATCAGTATTAACAGGAGCATTAATACTGATTTGTTAATAAGTATTAACAAATATTAACAAGTGTCCAGCCAGTTTGAGTGAATCCCATGTCCTATGTGAATCATTTCCAGAGTGGTTTGGCAGTCTTAGGCTTCATTTTCTGTGAAACCTCCAGTTGTCTGTAAAGCTTCACTGACTTTCTGGAGTCTTTTTTTCAATGGGGGTGGCAAATTGCCACCCACTCCCTATGTCTCTATGAGGGGGGCCAAGTTTTGCCTCTGGTCCCCAATAGGCCAAGCAGAACTTCTGCGTCTGATGTGACCTTCTAGTACGTGGCAATCTCGGCTACATAGATTCAGGAAATCACTGGGGCTCCTCCAGTATGAGGCATTTCAATACTTCAACGCTGGATTTTTTAGCAATATTTCAAAACAGCTTAATTCCGTGTTCATCATTACCCATTATTGAGATATAACATAACTGTCCCTCAATGGTAAAATCACCACATCTGACGATGAAGACACAGTAAAGGAGCCAATGTGAGTTGACTTTCATGTTCTCATGTTTACATATAAAATAAAGGATTACACTTCCAAGAACTTTGACAAATGACAAGTTTTATAGACATCCTACTGTAAGTCCTTTGGATATCCAAGGTCACAGGTATAACACAGCTTTTTATTATTTGTATATATATATACAGCTCATCCTCCTGTTTTGGTAATACTTATAGTGATGATGAGGACCATAGTACATATACCGACATACTCTGTAGTTATTATATAGAAATCAGACATACCACCAGTATTGAATTTGGACAAACCATTAAAGATTTTCTAGCTACGTTGCAAAGACAAACAAAACTAACCTAACCTTCCTAGGCCTAATACATGCTATCTGAGGCCTAATATAGTATATCCAAGGCCTATTGTGTGCTACACTAGGTCTAGGAATATTTAAGTACAATTGTTTAGCTTCATTTTTTTGGGACAATAAAGTGAATAGTACAAAATTGTACTATCTAAACAGGAGGATGGATTGATATATAATATAATGCCCAGATGAACCTGGATTTAGCTTCCCCTTTCCCCCACTTCACAACCACCCACCTCTCTCGATCCCTAATATTTCCCTTCTCTTTCCAGAACTCCTTTCACCATTTAGTAGGCCTGTTCAGAGACTGGGCTAGGGGGAGACCTCCACAAGGTAATGTAACCTTCCTTATCTCTTACCACCTTCACTACTTTTCTTCCCTATCACCTTCCCTATCTTTCAGCACTTTCACTTCATCCATGTAACCATTTTCATTAAATACTATCCTCACTAAGATTCATCCAGCATATTAAATGTTAGTTTCTGTTATGCATAAGAGCTGCACTCAGGTCTGCGTCCCTCTTCACCACCTTCCGTCCTACCTAACATTAAACATAGTACTGTAGATGAATCTTTTTATTTAATGATTGGAATTTAGTGGAATTGGCCATTTAATACAAAGGGTGGAGGGCATGGGGCTTGATCTTGACCATCAGATGTACCTCCCATAACCCAGACTATTCACCCTACAAGGTTTCGTGAGACTAACCCCAAGTGTCTGGCTGCCTACTTTGGACAGACAAATGTATGTTCTCTTTTGTAGATATAGATTTGTATAAACACATGGGCAAGATGTGTCCTATCATACAGTAAGATAAACAAAAAACTGATGCTAAACACCAATTACTGCATTAGAAACACTAAATTTAACAAATATGCAATAACCAGATACCCATTAATCCAGATTTCGTTAGGTTCCACTTCATTAACTGGAAAAATTTATATTATTGACAAGAAAACAGGTGTACATTTAGAATTCAATTAAAAAAAGTACTTAATACAATGAATCAATATTCTCAGTAATATCACCCATCAAATGAAGAAAATCGAATAAAGCTCCTTATATCTATGGCTTATGTAGTCTAAATGTAAAATTATCAAAATACTAGTATTTTATAAACTACAGAATACTTAAATCAAATTAACTAAACACTTCACCTACTTGTAGAAATCACGCATCTCCATATACTTGACAGGGCAAGCCATGCACTTGAGATCTTGTTCATTACGAACAGATTGAAAGTCCCCACAACAGAGAAGAAGATCAACTTTGAAGCCATGAATCTGTTCAAGTCTGCCGACCGAGTTGTATATAGTGTCAAGCTCCCCATGAGAACATCCTTCTATAGCAATATACATTTTCAGCTACTTTAAGTTGTTCCTAAAAAATAAGCAATTATTAAGCATATGTATAACTTGTCTATCCATTACAAACTAACTTTAGTAATTAATCCACAAAATTAATAACAAGGTGACAATAGTAAAATAAATCAAAGTTCAAATTTCATGATTGATCTGATCACTGAATACAAGTTAAGCAGAGGCTACTTGAACTTAAAAGTAAGTATTTCTAAATAAAGGAAAAAACATTAATGAACACTCGTGAAAATTGTACAGGATCCAACATGTTTCCCATTGCTCAATCACATCTTGAGGTTATCTTGAGATGATTTCGGGGCTTTTTTAGTGTCCCCGCGGCCCGGTCCTCGACCAGGCCTCCACCCCCAGGAAGCAGCCCGTGACAGCTGACTAACACCCAGGTACCTATTTTACTGCTAGGTAACAGGGGCATAGAGTGAAAGAAACTCTGCCCATTGTTTCTCGCCGGCGCCTGGGATCAAACCCAGGACCACAGGATCACAAGTCCAGCGTGCTGTCCGCTCGGCCGACCGGCTACACATGTGGATGTGTAGAGATGTACACCATATCTCATGGTTGCTGTAAATCTGACCACACAAGCAACAGATTTGAAAAGTACAGTACAGTACTTTACTATTGCTTGCCATGTTTGGCATTAAACCATTATGGCATAACCAAGCAAAGCAGAGTGAATATCAATATGTAGGCACAGATAAATTTAAAGGAATACATGAATACTTTGCCAGAAATATGAGTAAATGTGCGAGTGTAGTGGATATAAGAGAAGACTGGTGAACTGCAGTGACTTTTGCAACATTGCGCAAGAATTGAGGAAACCGCAGAAGACCTATTGGCTTATACATGGCAGGTTTTATTGTATTCATCAAGTTGTGATTGTGGGGGATGAGCTTTGGCTCTTTCGGCCTGCCTCTCAACTGTCAATCAACATTTTTTTTTTACACACCCAGGAAGCAGCTGTCTAATCCCAGGTACCTATTTACTGCTAGGTAACTGGGCATTAAGGTGAAAGAAAATCTGCCCATTTGTTTCCACCATAGCCAAGTCAAAAATACAAGTCACAGCTTCGTATCATACTTTGCAGGTGACAAAAATTAGTTAAAATTACCAATCAAAAAATCAGTGAAAATTACCTCAGCTGAAGATATTGAAAAACTTCAAGCAGATGTTCATAACGAACAAATCCACAAGGGCCGTTCATTTGATGCATCACGTTAGTGTGATCTCTGTGTGTAAAGATATTAATAACGTTTTCGACTGGGCAACAGAAAATAACATGATGCTTAACAGTGATAAATTCCAGGTACTCAGGTACGGTAAAAATGAGGACCTTAAACATAATACAGGGTACTAAATACAATCAAATGTGCCCATAGTAGGAAAGCAACATGTAAAGGATTTGGGAATAATGATGTCTGACGACGTAACGTTTAGGGAGCATAACCAAGAAAATACTGCGTCCAGCCAGGATGGATTACGAGAACTTTCAAATCCAAGGATCCCATCACAATGGTTGTACTATACAACCATTGAAATACTTGCAAGACTTACTTACAAGGTCGGGCTTGGGGAGTAGAAGAACTCCCAGAACCCCATCAACCAAGTATAGCCGGGAATCAAACCCGGGCCACAGGACTATGTATCCAGCATACTGTCCACTCAGCCACCAGGTGCCCTACCCATTTAAATGTACTGTATACTCGCACTAGAAAATGAAGGGACAACGACGTTTTGGTCCGTCCTGGGCCATTCTCAAGTCGATTGTGATTTAAACTCTAGTAGTAAGTTTAGATACAGAAAATGCAGTTTAACTCTAAATTCCTTAACACAGAAAGAAAGAAAGCAATGTATCAATGAATGGATTAAAGCAAACAGGGTACTAGGATTTATAAAAAGCATGAGTAATGGAAACACAAAATACTGTCAAGCACTGATGAGGTCCTGGTCGGATTATGCCGAACAGTTCTAGTTACCATACAGTACTTCAAAATGAACAAACTATCGAGAAAAATCAGAGGATGACAAGGCTGATACCAAACTTAGCATTGGGCACCTTTCATATTAAAACATTATTAAAATTGCAATGAGTGAAAAGAGTAATTCATGTGGGTTATGGTGCATTAAAATGAGGAATATAAAGTTTTCTGAAACTGTCGGAACTCACAACTATGGGTAAAAGCTCTATAAATCCGGTTAAAATATAAGTACTGAAGAGTGGAAATGTGCCTTTAAGTGGCATTATTGAAAATAATTAATCAGGCTTCAACAAAAATTGGATAGTTAGGGGGATGGATTTTAATATGATCTGCCTGCTGTGGTACTCCCTAATTTTTATGTATTAAGCCTATCAAAATCTACCATACACAATGTGTAGAGTCAAGAGTCAAACAGGGGAAGAGTTAAATGATACACAGGAATTTTGCACATTGAATAATTGTTTAAACTGCATTAAGATACTATATATCATTAGGTTATGCTAGACACTTTAATACATTAACAAAAGGAGTTAACAAGCTGTCTTATATAAGAAATGCCCAGAATTCCTGTGAAATATACCAGACCCAAACAACCATAAGACAGAAAGAAACCTACATTAAAAGTACATACAAATTAGGTTGTTAAAATTGCATATTATGGACCAAACAACTAATTCGAACCTTAGTGCAAAATGCACCAAATTGTTTTTCTTTTACGAAAACAAAAATGCTTTCTTGTTTCTTGTTCTTTCTTGAAATACCTTACACCTACCCGATAGTGGCGCACCTCCCCAGATTCCCCGGGTGACGGACGCGTTGGTCTCACTGCTCCTCCCTGGCTAACTCTTATCACTCACATCAACCTAGTCATCGTGCCTTAATTAAGCTATAAAATGGAAGCGGAATTGGCCAAGAAAAGCGGTTAAAATTATAATCCCCCCCGAGGCCGTCTCCCAGAATCCACCGTACACTTGTTTACGAATAACCTGTGTCCGAACGAGTCCCACCGTCTTTTCCAGTAATTATTTCTTAATACGAGTGATGATAAACGCGAAAATATTTCTCAAAGTAAATATATATATTTTACTTGTGAGATATAAATAATGATTCAACTTACCTGAACGCAGATTAAAATAAGAAATCCGAACAATAATTCCGAGCGTAAGAGAGAACGGAGCGGTGAAGATGGGGAACGTGTGCAATATGACTTTTGAAGTTTTAGATTTAGCTATTCAGAACGAAATGTCCATATAGTACGCGCTATAGTGAGCCCGTAATGGACATACTACACTTCGATCTGAGGCAAAAGGACGAGAAGCGATGGACGTACTCCTGAGCGACGTCTATTTAAGAGTGCAAGAGTCACGTGAAGTTTCCCGACAAAATAATTATCTATAAGGAAATCAACTCGTCTCTCATAATGTACATATGGATTAAGGAAACTGCAGAAAGCCTATTGTGTTATACAAGACAGTTCCTCGTACAGTCAAGCGAACTTTTGGCTTCTAGGAAAAGAACGTAGTTATTCAACTGTACAATTTTTTTTAGGACGCCCCCATTTCTACTACTGTATCCAAGCATGGAGCCCTCATCTTCAGGGGAACATATCTGCTTTGAAGAAAGTTCAACACCGGGCGACAAACATCATCCCAGAAAGAAGTCAACTCTCATACCAGGAACGGTTGATTGATTGATTGATAAAGATTAAGCCACTCAAGAGGTGGCACGGTCATGAATGGTAAAAGTGGTACATTTTTTGGTTCAGTAATTCTTTTCAGTATTCTGAGGTTGCATTTAATCGCCAAGCTGCTATCGCGGGGGGGGGGGGAATACTTGACAGTCTTTATGAGGGTGTCCAGCTGCTGGACACCTTTTTTGACCAGGGGAACGGTTGAGGGTCATACATGCCTATCAACCAGGCCCGCTCACCCGCCACACACCCATCTCATCCGCGCCAGTTAACTGTTGGTCGACGCCCGGGCCGCGGGGACGCTAAGCCCCGAAATCATCTCAAGATAGATACCGTCTATTTAAGGTCCTCAAGGGGCTCATAAATACATACAGTACACATATTAGTAATTTTTTACAGTTCACATTCCAATAGTAATCACCGTAAAGATTGTGAAATCATTTATTGATTATGCTGCACCTGTAAATACATTTAAATGATTTAGATTCAGGTTTGAGCAGCAATATTTCCAAATTTGTCGACGATACGAAAATCGGGAGGGAAATAAACACGGAACAAAGCTCCTTATTTATTAATTTATATACAAGAAGGTACATTGGGTTTATGAGAGTACATATCATTGATGCTTTTACATTCTTGTAAGAACATAAGAACAAAGGTAACTGCAGAAGGCCTATTGGCCCATACGAGGCAGCTCCTAATTATAACCACCCAATCCCACTCATATACTTGTCCAACCCGCGCTTGAAACAATCGAGGGACCCCACCTCCACCACGTTACGCGGCAATTGGTTCCACAAATCAACAACCCTGTTACCGAACCAGTATTTACCCAAGTCTTTCCTAAATCTAAACTTATCCAATTTATACCCATTGTTTCGTGTTCTGTCTTGTGTTGATACTTTTAATACCCTATTAATATCCCCTTTGTTATGTCCATTCATCCACTTGTAAACCTCTATCATGTCACCCCTAACTCTTCGCCTTTCCAGTGAATACAACTTAAGCTTTGTTAATCTTTCTTCATATGAAAGATTTCTAATTTGGGGAATTAACTTAGTCATCCTACGCTGGACACGTTCAAGTGAATTTATATCCATTCTATAATACGGCGACCAAAACTGAACTGCATAATCTAAATGGGGCCTAACTAGAGCAAGATATAGCTTGAGAACCACACCAGGTATCTTGTTACTAACGCTGCGATTAATAAATCCAAGTGTCCGATTCACCTTATTACGAACATTCATGCATTGATCCTTTTGTTTTAAAAAACAAAACTATGTTGCGACTCATTTATTAATTTATGTTCTTGAATGAATTCACTTGAACGTGTCCAGCGTAGGATGAATAAGTTAATTCCCCAAATTAGAACAAAGCTTAACTTAACAAAGCTTACGTTGCATTCACTGGAAAGGCGAAGAGTTAGGTATGACATGATAGAGGTTTACAAGTGGATGAATGGACATAACAAAGGGGATATTAATAGGGTATTAAAAGTATCAACACAAGACAAAACACGAAACAATGGGAATAAATTGGATAAGTTTAGATTTAGGAGAGACTTGGGTAAATACTGGTTCAGTAACTGGGTTGTTGATTTGTGGTTACGCGTAACGTGGTGGAGGTGGGGTCCGTCGATTGTTTCAAGTGTGGGTTGGACATGTATATGAGTGGGATTGGGTGGTTATAAATAGGAGCTGCCTCGTATTGGTCAATAGGCCTTCTGCAGTTACCTTTGTTCTTATGTTCTTATTCCCTGTTCTGTTAGACCAATTTATTCCACTGAAATTAAGGTCACCCGTGACACAAATACTGCTAGACCTAGATGCTCTAGATATTTCATCCCAAAGGTGCTTTGCTTCCGTCCTGTTTAAGTTTGGTGGCCTATATATAACTCCTATTATCAGATTATTAGCTCTTTCGTTTAATTCTATCAAAATAGTTTTTGTATGTGGCTCAGTTTTGATTCCTTCTTTGAGATTACATTTAAAATTTCCCTAACATATATGGCTACTCCCCCTCCTCGTCTATTTTATATATCTGTGTGAAATAGTTTAAATCCATTAATTTGATATTCAGCTAATAGTTCTCTATTTTCTACATTCATCCACGTTTCGGTAAGTGCAATAATATCTATTTTGTCTGTGCAGACAAGAGCATTTAACTCGTTTATTTTGTTTCTTAGACTTCTACTGTTAGTGTAATATACCCTAAGTGAATTGTTATTTTGAGGCCCTTCTCTTTCCCTTATAAGAACATAAGAACAAAGGCAACTGCAGAAGGCCTATTGGCCCATACGAGGCAGCTCCTATTTATAACCACCCAATCCCACTCATATACATGTCCAACCCATGCTTGAAACAATCGAGGGACCCCACCTCCACCACGTTACGCGGCAATTGGTTCCACAAATCAACAACCCTGTTACTGAACCAGTATTTACCCAAGTCTTTCCTAAATCTAAACTTATCCAATTTATACCCATTGTTTCGTGTTCTGTCTTGTGTTGATACTTTTAATACCCTATTAATATCCCCTTTGTTATGTCCATTCACCCACTTGTAAACCTCTATCATGTCACCTCTAACTCTTCGCCTTTCCAGTGAATGCAACTTAAGCTTTGTTAATCTTTCTTCATATGAAAGATTTCTAATTTGGGGAATTAACTTAGTCATCCTACGCTGGACACGTTCAAGTGAATTTATATCCATTCTATAATATGGCGACCAAAACTGAACTGCAAAATCTAAATGGGGCCTAACTAGAGCAAGATATAGCTTGAGAACCACACCAGGTGTCTTGTTACTAACGCTGTGATTAATAAATCCAAGTGTCCGATTTGCCTTATTACGAACATTTATGCATTGATCCTTTTGTTTTAAATTCTTACTAATCATAACTCCCAGATCCCTTTCGCAATCCGACTTCGCAATCTCAACACCATCTAGCTCGTATCTTGTAACTCTATCATCATTACCTAACCTCAGAACTTTACATTTATCAGCATTAAGCTGCATCTACCAATCCTTTGACCATTTCAAAACCCTATCTAGATCAACTTGAAGTGATAGTGAGTCCTCCTCCTCCGAATTAATTTCCCTACCGATTTTCGTATCATCGGCAAATTTGCAAATGTTGCTACTCAAACCTGAATCTAAATCATTTATATATATTATAAACAACAGAGGTCCCAGGACAGAGCCTTGAGGCACTCCACTTACAACATTTTCCCACTTGACTCCATTTATACTAACTCTCTGTTTCCTTTGGTATAGCCATGCTCTAATCCAGTTTAATATAGCACCCCCAATACCATGAGCCTCTATCTTTTTAATCAGTCTTTCATGTGGCACTGTATCAAAAGCTTTGCTAAAGTCAAGGTACACAACATCACAATAATTCCCATTTATACTAACTCTCTGTTTCCTTTGGTATAGCCATGCTCTAATCCAGTTTAATATAGCACCCCCAATACCATGAGCCTCTATCTTTTTAATCAGTCTTTCATGTGGCACTGTATCAAAAGCTTTGCTAAAGTCAAGGTACACAACATCACAATCCTTACCACTATCAACTGCCTCAACTATGCTAGAATTTAACCAATTTGTTTCTCCAACAAACACATACTTTTATTACCTCCTTCCTCCCTATCAATTAAGAACATAAGAACATAAGAACAAAGTTTAACTTATTTAAGAATATTCTAAACAAAGCACAGGAACGTAGTATACCATACAAATTGAATAGATCGAATACTAATGACCCAAAGTGGATAACAAAGAATTTGAAGAACCTTATAGGTAAAAAGAGAGCTTGGTACAAAAGGATTAAAAATGGGGAGGTCACTTTAGAACAGGAATTCGTACAACTGGTTAGAAATGTTAAAAAAGAGATAAGGAAAGCAAAAAGAAACTATGAAGTTCGCATAGCAGGGCAAGCAAAGACAAATCCTAAAGGGTTTTTTCAGTTATATCGTACTAAGACTAGGGAAAGGATAGGTCCATTAAAAACTGAGACAGGTCAAATAACAGATAGTGATGAAGAGATGAGTAGTATTTTTAATAAATATTTTGTATCAGTATTTACTAAAGAGGAACTTAACAATATGCCTTCAGCCGAACAAGTCTATGTGGGTGGGGACGAGGACAGGTTGACTAGTTTAACAGTTACCAGGGAGGATGTAATTAAACAAATAGTAAAACTCAAACCAAACAAATCCCCAGGGCCGGATGAAGTGTTTGCCAGGGTGCTTAAAGAATGCAAAGAGGAGCTTTCCGAGCCACTGTCAACCATATTTAATAAATCA